CACACACACACACACACACACACACACACACACACACTCCCCCTCCCTCCCTTCATTCAATGCAGTACTGTCAGACTCTTTATGATGACTGACAAAGCTCCTCTCCTCAGACGAACTGATTCAGCAGAGGGTTTGCTCTCGTCATGATACGGGCTGCCAATGTCCCTACTGCTGGCCAGTCTGTCGCCCTGTCAGTGGCAACATCTTCTCCTCCTAGATTGTGTGCTTCTACTTTTTTTTTTCTTCGTCGTCTTTTTTGTGCTTCGACTTTTTCACAATCCTCCGTTTTCATTTTCCCCAGACTTTTAAACAACACAGACCCATGAAATTTTCCTTTGGTATCGGCTAGTAGATTGATTGGAAGTAGCTGCCCGACCTGCCAGGTCTCTCACCTGGTCACATAGTGTTGTTGTAAGGTTTTTTACTGTCACTTGCATTCTCTACTGCTTGTTCCTCATGAGCAGTAGGTCCATGGAAGTTCTCATCGGCGCGAGACTTTCCATTCATGAGGCAGATCAAAGGCTAAGTAACATAAAGGTAATGTATTGGACTGCAAATCCACGAATGATGGTTCGAATCCGTCCTTGGCCTACTTGGCAAGCCGACCAAGTTGCATGTCTTTGTGAAGATACCAAGGTTGCGTATTTTGAAGTTGATTCAAACCACTGACACAAGGATATTCAGTCTTTTAAGATGGACACAGGTGGGTCCAGTTTTTCAGTGAAGAGCCGAGAGTTCGTAAAAGCATACTTTCTCATTGTTTCTCAAGTCGGGCGATATAATGCTGCTTCCGTTCGGTGCTTTGGAAGCTGGCCATCATAATGCTGAGGGAGCTGAAGTGATTCAAACATGATTTAGCTGAGTTGCCAAGGTTAAGGATGAGTTATTTAATCCTTGACCAGCTGGACTCATTTCTTTTGCCCTGTGCCGATTGCTGGCCAAGGTTGTAGCGGCTACGTGGAGGCGAAGAAGGCGAGGCGCTGCCATTAGGAGAGAGGATGAGGGAGCCTTGAGAGGACCTCATGACCTGCGCCATTGGTAGCGCCGTTTGGAGTCCGCTAAGTAGGCGGGGAGTGAGCTTTCAGACGATCGAGTGTAGGTCAGACCAGCCATCATTTTTACCTAAACATGCTGTAAGGGTCGGTTGGAATCAACTGAAGCAAGTGAGGTGTCACCAGCTAGACAGGAATTGGTGAATATTGTCGTGTTCTGGAGACCAAGTGATTCTTGAAGCAGCCATTGTAGCCTGCACTTGTACTTGGTATTTTAGAATTACTTGGGCTTCCAAGAAAAGCTCGGAGTATACCGAAGAAGGATACACCCGAGACTCATTCTCCGCCGAGCCCCTATCAAGGAGCTTGTAGAACGACTTAAGAAGTATGGATTTGTAAGACGCACTTACAAAGGTTATATCCTTCCTATGCCAATAAGAATTATGATCCCGATGGACCACGCAGATATACTTGCATTTTACAATGCAAAAACCCGTGGCATTTTCAACTACTACTAAGTGGGTGCCTGTACCTCAAACCGACACAGGTAGGTAGGTAGAGAATACCTAGGGGCGCGAGACAACTCTCTCTTAGGGCCTCATCCCACCATACTCACCGTAAGTAAAAGTCCGAGAGGTACGTAAAAGCCCGGTCCGCGGGTTTCGCATTCGGTAAGTAAAATGGCACTCCACTGTCCCGACATTGAAGGGAATTTTACGTGAGTGGCGGCGGCCTTTGTTGGCAGTTCTGGCCACGGACAAACCAGGAACGGCAACGGACAAAACAATTAAAAAAAAAGAAATTAAAAAAACTTACGGTAAGTTCGCGTAAGGGTAAGGGCCCGTCGATTTTACGAAAACGGAAAACGGAGCTCCCGAAGTTCCCTCCACGACCGCCACGTCGTGAACCGTTTTCACATGCCTCCATTCACCGCGGAGGCCCCGGGGTTCAAGGAAACTGGTGGGATACCAAAAAAATGCATTTTTTACTTACCGTGAGTATGGTGGGATGAGGCCCTTAAGGAACTCGGCAAAATCGCCCCGTAACTTAGGGAGAAGGGGTACCTCTTTATACAGGAGGTTGCAGTGACCAGGCCCAGGCGACTGTTTACCAAAAACACAGGTCTCCGCAAATGCATGGCGATTATAGCTCTGCATCTGGCCCGAAAATTGCCCTAAATGCAGCTATCACAACCATGCATTATGTTCAGGGGAAGATGGGAGCAGTTGACATACCAGCTGTAAAAGGTGATGTGTGGATGTTCTGAAGTCTGCGGGAGAAGCAAGAAGTTGTGGAGAAGACGGATGAAAGGGTGAGTTGGCTATGATGATAGCCTGCAGGTTTCTAAAATCTCAGTGGAATCCCTGTGCCTAGATGGTTTTAAAAGTTTGTCAGATGTGTATTTGGTGGGTTGAAACACAAACTGCCGTAGGGGATTGCAGCAGTGATTGTTTGGAAGAGTGGTCTGTGTTGCATACTGTAATGTGCAGACCAGAACAAGAACCGAACTTTCAATACAAAGTATAAGATAGCACAACGGAAGACTTAGATACCAGTGATCCGAACAATCAATGTTGCAATGCAGCCCTGAACATACATCATTATCATCGTTACATGGTGTGAAATGGGCCTGGCGCTTCACACAGGAAGACTGCGCCAGCCCATACCATACACAGACAAAGAGGAAGGGGATAGACGAAGAGGAGGGGGAAGATGGGAATGTCGTCAACACCAAGTCTTCGGCACAAGCCCAAATAGTCCCTCGTCGAAATGTCTGAATCCCAAATGTCAAGTCTGGATCCAATGTCGTCAA